ACCAGTAAAATCGTTTACTAAATGTATAAACAAAAATTTTTATTGGTAAATATAGCAATATGGATATTACTCCTTACTAGGGCTGTCACCATACTAAAATGTTCAACTGGATACCGATACTCAGGAAAATATTAGATACCATTTTGGATACCACAAGGATAAAAACAAAGACCCCCAAAATGTAACTGAATTTTGACAGGTTAGTGTCTTTGGTTTCAAACTGACCTGTTACTGATGTTATGGTGGCCCACATTAATGACCCTAACCCTGACCCTAACCCTAACCCTAACCCTAACCCTAACCCTAACCCTGACCCTAACCCTCACCCTAACCCTAACCCTAACCCTGACCCTAACCCTCCACCCTTCATTTGTGAGAAATAATTGTGAGAAATAAATATTTGTTATAAACTTGTTTGGACTTATTGTACAAACCTATTTAACATCCACTATTTCAACATAATATTATGTACAGAGTTTAATTCAGTGTTAATATCACTAATCTTAAATTAATGTCTATATATCTTCCTATTGGTGACCTAATCAAAATGGCCGACTTGGATGTGGGGGAGTTGGATATTCATCCTTGGCTTCCTGCAGACTTGATTAATGTTGGCGTGTTGTTATTAAACATTAGCCACAGCTAGCAATTCAAGGCTAACGTCACGTTAATGATCAGAAACAACGTAAATAAATAAATAAATCAGAGAGAAGGGGGTGGTATCGATACTTTAGAAAATGAGTATCGTATCCGGATACAACGTTTTAGTATATATACTTTTTTGAGTATCAATGCTTTTGACAGCCCTATTTTTTACATGACTTGGATTATTTTAATGAAAGGGAGGAAAAAACAACTGTCCACCCAACGAGAAGGAGTTTTGGCTTTTTTTAAAAGATTTCCACTGCTCACAGATGCAGTTTAAATATCTGTGTAATGTTTTGGTAGAGGCAACTATCATTTTAAAGCTGTTTTTTCAGCACAAAAGGCTTGAGACATGAAATCGTAGAGGGGTTATTCAAAACAGATGCTTACTATAGCACGCCATCCTGTAAATCTAGGTACGGGAATCAGGAAAGAGTTATTACACCGAGCTCTAATAAACAATAGCAAACAGTAACTTGGCAGGACCAAAGGAATCCGTTTATAGTCCAACCTCTGGAGCTGGGAAAGACACGGACTAACATCAGGGATTCTTTATAGGCCTAAAGGTCAGTCTGAGCACGGACTTCTGACAAGGTCAGATCACATTTCCTCAGAAATTAGCATATCCTCCCTGAGACCCAAAGAAAAAAAGTGTGTTCAAATTTCTTTTTTGTTGTGATTTTCCATGTATTTGGACCTAAAAAAGAACATTACAATTTAATTTTTTTTAAAAATATTTTTAATTTTAATTTCATAGCATGCCTACTGTGGAGGACAACAGGACGGTTTGCATGGGGAAATAGAACAGGCTTTAGATCATTAAATAATAAAAAAGAAGATGTCTGGAAAGGGATATTTACCTAGGAACTCTTAGGAAAAAAGTAAAGTTCCCAGCATGCAAACCTATCACATGGCACATCGCTGGAAAGCCCAGGATGTGCTCTACAGAACACTATAGGGCTTGATAGGGTAACCCCAGATACTTAGGGGGGGTACAGGTGGACAAAATGTCCACTATAATGGACATAAATGAATGGGCCGGGTCTCAGGAGGATATCACTGGGCAGCTGCCTTCAATGACTCAGACAGGACTCTTAAACTGGGACTAATTTAGTTTCCTCTTATGGTACTGAACTTCCTGAAATGAAGGTGTCATGACTAATGAGAAAAACCAGCAGAAATGTATAATAACTAGTTATCGGGATACAATATCAATAATTGTTTGTAGATTGTTGGATAGCTGGATTTATGGAGATATGGGGCATTTGTTTGGTGCTAAGATGAGAGATATGGAGAAACAGCTTTACCTGGCTAGAGATAACTAAATCTCATTATACTGTGACCTTTATATTATACCTTTAGGTAAGAAGATAAATGTACACTCCACCACATTTTGAACTTCCTAAATTTCTTGTTCTTTTAAATTGGGGCGCTGTAGTGCCTGAACTCACACGTATTATTAACTCATTGGCTGCCAAAGACGTCTATAGACGTCTTTTATGTTTTTAACGAGAGTGTCTGGGGGACGATCTGCTAAAGCTTGTCCGTAAATATGGGCTTCTAGACAGAGTATGTAGTAACAAATTGACCCTCTAGGGGGCAGTGCCACTTTTGATGGGAGATGAGCATAGACTGTAGGCAAATAAGAAAAAGGGAACGGTTCTATGAGAGAACATGTCGCCGGTGAGACGCAAGTCCAGGAAGAACGGAATAAGGTAGAAACACTTTTTTTTTCCTTGATGAAAGAAGAGAGTCTACTCTTTCTTTTGGTGTGTTCGGTGTTTACATAGTCATAGCACAAACTATTCTGTGGCTCTAGAAAAATCTGTCAAAATGCTCAAAAAACTCTGGCAGTATGGGACTCTGTTCTGAAAATGGCTGCCAGTCAATGAGTTAAAATATACACAAACGCGGGGAAATATGGAGGAGGTTTTGGCCTGAAACAGAAGTGAAAAACAAGTCTAGAGCTGCTGGGTCTGGCTGAGGACGCGGAGCTACCATTACCTCACAAATGTTCCATCAGATGGAAGGAATCTGAGACGTGGCCCAGAGCCAACCAGTAGGAAAAAGGTCTGGGGTGTGTCTAACTGTTGAGGGGCAGATCAACTCATCTGACCCGGAGATTTTTAATGGGCCCGAAATGATATTAATTTAGTCATATTAGATCAGAGTATGATTAAAAACATTAAAGTAAACTGTGAGCATATACAGTTTACTTTAATGTAAGAGAGGGAGAAGAAACAAGATAATAATGGCAACGAAAGGGGATGGAAAAGGGCCATAGAGATTAAAAACATTAAAGCAAACTGTGAGTATGTACAGTTTACTTTAATGTAAGAGGGGGACAGGAAATGGACCCCATCTAAGAAGATAATAATGGCAACAAAAGGGGGCGGAAAAGGGCCATAGAGTGTGGAATTTTAGATAGATAGATAGATAGATATATAGATAGATATGTATATATGTATAGACATGTATATATGTATATGCTGTTGTTTTATTTATGGAGATAGTAACAAAAATCATTTCCCTCTGGGAATATTAAAGTATTTCTGATTCTGATAGAGAGGAAATGCACTGGAAATTTAAAGTCTGGATATAAAAAACCGTGTTGTGTGTATGAGGAACCCAAACCCTGACGGGACCTGAACCTGCCTTGTTGCCGTGGGCGACCTGCACGGTTTCCACCCCGGTGTGCAGGTCCAGGTCTGAGAGCGGCAGCAGGCGGGCCTGGGCCATTAAGTGTGGAATTTTGTATATGTATGTATGTATATATATATATATGTATGTATGTATAGACGTGTATATATGTATATGCTGTTGTTTTATTTATGGAGCTAGTAACAAAAATCATTTCCCTCTGGGATTATTAAAGTATTTCTGATTCTGATAGAGAGGAAATGGCCCCCCATCTAAGAAGATAATAATGGTAACAAAAGGGGGCGGAAAAGGGCCATAGAGTGTGGAATTTTAGATAGATAGATAGATAGATAGATAGATAGATAGATAGATAGATAGATAGATAGATAGATAGATAGATAGATAGATAGATAGATAGATATGTATAGACATGTATATATGTATATGCTGTTGATTCATTTATGGAGCTAGTAACAAAAATCATTTCCCTCTGGGAGTTTGAATCCGTTGTTTACAGTCTGAATCTAAAAAACCGTGTTGTGTATGTATGAATAGCCCAAACCCTGACGGGACCTGAACCTGCCTTGTTGCCGTGGGTAACCTGCACGGTTTCCACCCCGGTGTGCAGGTCCAGGTCTGAGAGCGGCAGCAGGCGGGCCTGGGCGGACGGCAGCGTGCAGCGCGGGCACTGGCAGTTATCCCGGAGCCAGGTGAAGGGGAACAGGCTCCGCCCCCCTTCCCCCCACTCCACCTCCACCAGACGCTCCTCATCCAGGGCCCGGACCCCCCTCACACCCAAACCCGTCACGGGGAGAGGCGAAGAACCCAGAGTCTGCTGCCCACGGATGGGAGACGCAGATATGGGGGAGGGGGGGGGACCCCAACGGGCCCTAAGGGCCGGGGAAAAGCACCGTAGAGCAGGAAGGGCCCGACGAAACAACGCACTAGTCCACATCTCTGGAGCTCAGATAGTAAGACTCTGTGGGAGGAAAGAGAGAAATTAAGCAAATTTAGTAAAGAGTAGGGATGTCAAAAGCAGTGTTTTTCAACCTGTTTTTTTGAGCCAAGGTACAGTTTTTCATTGAAAAAATCTCGAGGCACACCAACCAAAAATGTTAAACAAATCTGTAGTCGCCTATAGTAACACTGTAGTTATTCTTATTTTATTCTCATCTTATCTTAAGTGTTTTGAATAGGAATCGACACTTAACATGTCCACTGCAAAATTATATACAAAATCTAGTCATAAGGAATTATTACATGATTACTCCACCAGTCACTAGAACAGCACAGACACTCAAAAATGGCATATTATTTGCAGATAATTAATTCCTTATTAAAAAATCTTTTTAGACCAATGAGGTGAAATAGGATGATTTTCTACGGCACACTAGTGTACCAAGGCACAGGGGTTGAAAACACTGGTCAAAACTATGGATACTCGAAAAAGTATGGATACTAAAACGTTGTATCCAGATACGATACTCATTTTCCCCCTTTCTCTCTGATTTATTTATTTATTTACGTATTGAAACCGCGTCTGTGAGTGGAAATCTGTTTCAAAAAGAAAAACGCCTTCTCGTTGGATGGACAGTTGTTCCTCCATTTAATTAAAATAATCTAAGTCATGTCAAAAGTTGGGATGTCAAAATTATCGATACGAAAATGTTGTATCCGGATACGATACTCATTTTCAAAAGTAACGATCCCCTCCCTTCTCTCTGATTTATATATTTACATTGTTTATGATCATTAACGTGACGTTAGCCTTCAACTTCTAGCTGCGGCTAATGGCTAATAACAACACGCCAACATTAGTCAAGTCTGCAGGAAGCCAAGGATGGATGTCCAACTCCCCCACATCCAATATAGACATGAATTTAAAAATAGTGAAATAATCTTTCAAACACTGAATTAAACTCTATCCATAATATTATGTTACAATAGTGTAGGTTAAATAGGTTTGTACAATAAGTCCAAACAAGTTTAAGTAAAAAATATGTATTTCTCACAATTATGAAGGGTTATGTTTAGGGTTAGGGTTAGGTTTAGGGTTAGGGTCATTAATGTGGGCCACCATAACTTCAGTAACAGGTCAGTTTGAAACCAAAGACACTAACCCGTCAAAATTCTGTTAAATTTTGGGTTCTCTGTTTTTATCAACCATTCCTTTAACTTTGGCTGAAACCGTTTAAATAGGCTTTTCTTTGTTTCCTTTCAACTCATGTACTTTCTTTATAGTTAGTTTTTAAAGCTACAAATCGTTGAACCGTTCATTTAAAAAAGACCCTTATGAACCGGCGCTGGGTCTACGGGTAACAGACACTTCTTTATCTTTAGCGTCTTTGTTGTGAGCAAAGATAAATCGTGTTCACATTACTTCAGTTTCATTTATTAAAAATACCAAACATACCAGTTGTACAATCACACAATTGTATTTATTCGAAAAACAAGACGATTTCCAAGGAGTTATAAGCTGGAAAGTTGGCAAAAGTCAGCACAAAGTAATTCAGTAGAGGCGTGACACAGCATGGAGAAAATCCATGGGCTGTTTATCCAAAGTTTATCAGATATGGCCTCTATGGAACGGTGGGTATCAACCAAGGAATGTAAACAGGGGGAAAAGGCTTATTAATGTCAAATTACATAAGAAGTGCACTGAAAATCAGGTAATAAAAGGTATTTTGTTGTAGTTAATCATCCCATGAACCTAGAAGTAAAAATCATTGAAGAAATGTTGGATGATCTGACAGAGAACAGAAGAATAGGCAGCAAACAACCAAATAGGAGCTTTGACTTATCTTTTGTGATTAACTATTACTGAGGATTTCATAAAAAAACGAGTAGAAAAATCATCTTAGAGGGTTAAAGATGATCTTAAGTTATGGTTCAGGCTGTTAAAGAATATGAGGCAGTACTTGGAATGACATATGCAGTCAAACATAAGCTCTTAGCAAAAAAATATCAGCATTTACGAACCACCTGATGAGGCGAATGAACCGATATGGAGCTCTTTACCAACAGGTACCGTGCACCTGTACATAGGTGAGCAACCTCTAGCTGCAGCCTGCAGGAGCCTCGGCTGGATATCCAACCCCGCCCACATCCAAGTCGGCCATTTTGATTAGGTCAGGTGACTAGCAGCTTTCTGAGGTGGAAACGAAACTTTACTGTCTATACGAAATAGGAAGATAAACAATGTCCTAACCCTAACCCTGACCCTAACCCTTAACCTAACCCTAACCATAACACTAAACCTGACCCTAAACCTATCCCTAACCCTGACCCTAACCCTGACCCTAAACTTAACCCTGACCCTAACCCTAACCCTGACCCTAACCCTTCGTAATTGTGAGAAATATATATCATTTGGTTAAACTTGTTTGGACTTATTGTACAAACCTATTTAACATCCACTATTTTAACATAATATTATGGATAGAGTTTAATTCAGTGTTTGCAAGATTCATTTAACTATATTTAAATTAATGTCTATATTGCCATGAAGCAATTAGGATTTTCTTGCCTGGGATCTTCCTTCCTATTGGTGACGTAATAAAAATGGCCAACTTGGATGTGGGCGGAGTTGGATATCCATCCCTGGCTTCCTGCAGTCTGCAACCAGATGGACTTGAAGGAAGATTGTGCCTGTATTGACGTTTTGAGTGGGAGCTTAATAGCAGAAACTTTCTCTTCACTCTGCTGACCGCAGCTTTCTGGACGCGTTGGACGTTGAAGGAAACAGAAGAAAAACAGCAGCAGGTGGCTGGTTGTTTGGAAGAGAAAACATCCAGCCCCGGGGGAGAACTAACCGTTAGGAGGCAGAGTATTAAGATTATGTGGAGCACAGCTCAGGAAAGTTCACTAGACAGTTCAATAGACACTTCCTGACTGCCTCCAGCGTTTTCCCCGCAGGCTTTTAGCCTTTAAAGAAGCTAACCGGTTGTTAGCATGCTAGATAAAGTAAACGCACCCAACGGTTGATAAACTACATCCGGATCGAGTTTCAAACCAAACCGGTCCGCGGAGGGGCTCCATCACCGTGTTACGGTAAAGTTTGTGAATTAAAGCGGCTCTGAAAAGTTTCAAATTAAAAAAAGAGTTTGCATTAGACGGACGTTACCTGGATCCGGCCGTTAGCTGGTGCTCACGCGCGCATCAACCGTCAACCGTCAACACAAACCGTCGGTGCGCGCGACGGGAAGTGGGTGAAAGGTCGACCGTTGGGGTGACGTCATCGCTGCGAGCGCCTGACCTTTGGTCCACTTTCTTTTTCTCAGCCACAATAAAGCCACGTTATCGAGCTGATAACAGCCAGAATCCGACATGATGTTGATCTACTGGATGTTTACTTTGAGTAAATTCAAAAATAATTCATAAGGGGTGTTTTTCCAAATACAAATATCAGCATCACATCACACAGATGTTGATCAATCAAAATCAGAATCAGAAATACTTTAATAATCCCAGAGGGAAATTATTTTATTTATATATATATAATTATTATAATAATATATATATATTGTTAATAATTATATATATATATATATTTGGTTTGAAACTCGATCCGGATGTAGTAATTATAATAATAATATATATATTGTTTATATATATATATATATATATATATATATATATATTGATGATATTGATATATTGTTGATTAATTCATCTTTGCAATTCCCTTGTATTATCGGGATTATCAAGAATTATGATAAATCTTCCCATTCAACATACAGTTCTCTCTACTGGTAAAGAAAATGTAAAAGCACCTCAGGAAATTCAGTTTGTTCCACGCAACTTTATAGACTTTAAAGTTTATACAACTGTATAAACTGTATTAAGTATGTGCAACTGTATATTTTACAAGCTTGGAACAGTATGTAGAAATCTATGTTCTATGTTCACATTTCCTCTGTGGACCTCCATCCTTTGGTGGCTGTGAGAAACAAAGTCAAGGTTGTTTTGTTTATGTTTTTTTGCTGTTCCCTTGAACATCCACATTTATCTAATAGAGACTCTTCCTCAGCTCCAAAAACTATTTTGACATTTAATTGACTAACCAAAATCTCCTCTTTCTGTAAAGTGTCAGTTTTTATCGTATTGTATCCCATTTAATAATGTTTGAATAAAACAAGGAGTTAAAGAAAATCACCATGATAGTATTTGGCAGTTGTATTTAATTATTTTGTATATCTAGTCATTACTTGCCTGATAAAGAATCTTAAAGAAAGACATGTAAAGGTTTTCAGAAAACTGTTGTGTTCACTCATACCTCTTTCAGAGTAGTTCTTCCTTTTTCCTTTGGAGGACCAGAGAGGATAATCAGTGCCCAGTACAATGCTCATCATCCAAGTTTGGTTTAAAAAGCATATTTTTGTAATCATTAACCAAAGATCACACACATTTACCGACAGTATGACGTAAGCGACCAGAGGTATAGGGTCAGTGAAGCTTACAACCAGTGGATTTGTAATTGTATCATGGACTTTGTGTTTTTGTCTAGAGCAGGACTTTATTTTATTTATTCTTTAAAAGGGAACAATGCTTTTTAATCTGTCATAAGACAGCAAAACAAAATGCCATATACCAAAACAACAAAAAACTAATTTGTTTGAGGAAAGTCTATTATACAGATGCTTTATGCACCGGTAGTCATCTGGAAAATGGACTAATATTAAACATTGTATATGTGTGAGGGTTTCATGTAAACTTGTAAATGTCTCTTAAATTGGCAAAAAAAAACTTTCACTGAAATTACTTTCCTGCGGTTAGTCATTTGCGAAAATATTAATATTATGTAACACTCAAACTGATATAAAAGGCAAGTTATTGTGGATTTCCACCACAGAGTTAGACTGAAAGCCTCATGATACTACTTACATTCTCAGAGATGCATGTCACATATATGATTTTTCCACTTCCCTGTGCCAAAATATGTCTAAACCTAAACGAGAAAACCATGATTTTCCCTCTCTCGGTCCAGTGGAACCAGTGGGATCAAAGTCTCCTCCAGTAAAAATGCCCTTTCCAGCGTTGCATAATTTACAACAGTTGGCATTTTATTTTTATCCTACATGGAGTTACGACATTTTAAATTTTTCCGAATCAAAGTGTCAAACTGTTTACTCAACATCACACGCGGCCTTCAAAGGCCGGATGATTGTGTGAAGGAAAAAGCTGTTTGTGACGGACCGAATGAGAACTAACGGGTTGTTTGTGAGTTTTAAACAGACACCCTCTCTTCTCCTCATAAATACCAACAGAAACCTCCCGCTTCAAAGCGTATAATTAGGAGGCCGAAGCCTCTGACTGCAGACCTCAAAACCTAGTTTGGCACACATGGGGGGAACTTTGTCATGTTCAAGCACGAGGGTTTTTATTATGTTCTCCAATTTAAAATGGTGCTACTGCAATAATGTTCAACTGGATACCGATACTCAGGAAAATACTCGATACCATTTTGGATACCACAAGGATAAAAACAAAGACCCCAAAATTTAACTGAGTTTTGACAAGTTAGTGTCTTTGGTTTCAAACTGACCTGTTACTGATGTTATGGTGGCCCACATTAATGACCCTAACCCTAACCCTGACCCTGACCCTAACTCTAACTCTAACTCTAACCCTGACCCTAACCCTAACCCTAACCCTAACCCTAACCCTCCACCCTTCATAATTGTGTGAAATAAATATTTTTGGTTAAACTTGTTTGGACTTATCGTACAAACCTATTTAACATCCACTATTTTAACATAATATTATGGATAGAGTTTGATTAAGTGTTTGCAAGATTAATTTCTCTATTTTTAAATTAATGTCTATATTGCCATGAAGTAATTAGGATTTTCTTGCCTGGGATCTTCCTATTGGTGACCTAATCAAGATGGCCGACTTGGATGTCTGGGGGTTGGATATCCATCCTCGGCTTCCTGCAGACTTGATTAATGTTGGCGTGTTGTTATTAGCCATTAGCCGTAGCTAGCAATTCAAGGCTAACTTAGACAGTACTTAATGATCATAAACAACATAAATATCATATCCGGATACAACATTTTAGTATCAATCCTTTTTTGAGTATCAATACTTTTGACAACCCTAGTCCAAAGACCTCCCGGATATTCTGTTTGAATCCCAGAGGAAGGGGTAAATCTGAGGAAACAGAAGTGATGGATGCTCTGATCCAGCCGGCAGCTCTCTGGCTCTGAACACCACAGTGTTTTAAACACAGTTCCTTTTATTTAAGTAAACACAAGATAATCCATTAAGCATGTTGTCATACAGATTAGTGTTTGACAGAAATTCACCAGTGCTGCCTGCAGTCTTATCCATCAATGTATTACATCTTGTTGTATTTTCTTAAAGTTAAACAAGAATAGGGTGTTACTTGATTTCCAAACCTTACATAAGCAATGAATACAGCTGAAAACATTCAATAATAAAGATATGGTCAATCACAGTATTTACTTACCTCTAATAATGTCCTGTACATTTGATAAGACTATAATTGTGCAAACACAGCACAGTGAGGGCTTTTAAACCATGCCGAAACCTCTATGTTAGAACAGGTCTGTACACGGTCTGCTAGCCTGTGTAACAAAACAAAAACAGTAATAATATCATCTTAATGTAAAATATACATAAAATCACATGTAAACATCATTTTCTTTGGTGCAACTGTAAGCCTTTTTTTTCAGGAGCTATCAATCAGACGGCTCAAGATTTTCCAAAACTCTTGCCATCAGTTTTTACTTTTCAAACCAAACCAAAGACACAAAATTAAGGAGAAAATACAGATTCCAACCTCAAGCAACTAAACTCTGTGAAACCTTCTGCTCTAAATAAAAAAAGACTCAGCGAGTCTTGGATATGCTTAAGATTTGGACCTAGTTTTTACTCATTAAACAGGCCGACTGGCCTTTGTTTTCCACACATATAAAAACACATGCACACACACATGCACGCTCACGAGCACAAATCTGAGATGGTTTGCACGTGAACTTCCTTACAAAAATGTTTTTCTGGCACCATAGAAAGTACCATTGTTACTCTACATATGCTAAGATATTTATAAATCTTCATAGGTGATCGTTTAAGCTGATTTGTAGGATATTTAAACAGCTATTTTACCCTATTTGGTTATTTTATCCACTGCGATTTTACATGTTGACACTTTTACTGACGTTCCTCACACTTTTGTTATTGGTACATTTAATATGGCATTTTTAAATACAGGAACACTGTTCATAATAATTATAATAACTTGTAAGTTAACACTAATTAAAGCATTTATATGATCAGGTTTTCATTCAGGTAAAGCATTTACCTGCCATTACTGTAAAGAAAATCACTAAGTGCATGCCTCCTCGTATTAAATATTTTATTTTTCAAGCACAACTTAACTCTGGAAACTTGACAATATGAGAACAACACACACCAAAGTCCTAAAACATATCCTGACATGTGGCACCTCCATGGAGAAGAAGGACCCTGAGACCAGGTAAGGATGCAGCTCCCAGAAGAGTTCTGCTTCTGTATTTTGGCTTTGTAACTTTTTGGACACACAAAAATGGGCAAATCTAGAAAAATCCACTTAAAGCAATCTGCACACACATAATCGAAGCAATAAAAATATTCTCTTTAGATGAACTGACCTATCGACCTTTGGTTTTATGTCCCTGATATGCCCCCGTTCTCACGCCTCTGGATCCAAACGAATAAAAATCATGATGGTGGGATTGCGATGAGATAAAGACGGGGGTCTGTTTTCTACTTTTCTTTCAAAACTTCATGTACTCGTTCCTCAGCCGGCTGAGTCTGGAGCCGTGGCTGCGGATGATGAGGGTCAGCAGCTCGTGCTTGTCCTTAAGGCCCAGGGAGATGTCCACCGTCTCCTTCAGGACGTCCCGGGTGTGCACCATCATGTTGAGGAAGTCGTCCCCCAGCCGGTGCTCCTCCTTCAGCTCGCTCTCCTGGCTCTGCTTGAACTTCACCTCCAGCTCCAGGAGGGACTTCTCCGAGTTGGTGAAGGCCTCGTTGATCTGGGCCGTCTCCCTGCGGAGGTACCTCCCGTAGCTCTCCTCCCCGTCCAGGTCGTAGGAGATGCTCTTCCCCACCCCCTCCAGGACCCGGGCCGAGTCCTCGATCTGCCGCTTCACGATGGTGAAGTCGTCCCGGATGACGGAGTCCTGGTCCTCGTCCAGGCTGCACTTTCGCTCGTCGGTCATTTTGAAAAGCATCTGGCACTTCTCCGGGTCGTCGTTCTCCTCGTAGTCGCCGTCCGGCACGAAGTAGTGGTGGAAGGTGCCGTTGGACATCTCCGGGTGTAGCGGTCCCCGGAAAAAAGAGCCGCTCACGGCGGGCAGCAGCAGGGACAGCATCCCGGCGCCCAGGAGCCAGTGAAGGAGAGCCATGGCAGCCACTTGTTCCGCATGCACCCAAAAAGAAGCAGTTTTTTAGCTTTAAACTTCAGCGAAAAGTGCAAACGGATGCTCTACTTCATGTCAAAACGGGAACCCAGAAAGCCGGCAAACCGTCCGAACCGTTCCAACCGTCAAAACCGTTTAAAACGTTCCAACGTTCCAACCGTCAAAACCGTCCCAACGGTTCAAACTGCTGCTGTTTGTAGCTCGGCTGTAGATTCAGTCCGTCTTCTGCCCTCAAACTGAATTAAAAAATGTTTTTACAACTCCACTTATAGTCTTTTAATCCGGTCTACCAGCAACCGTCACCGTTGGCGGGGAGAAAGCCGTCGTTTTGCCGTTAGTCCGGGCTCCGGGAGCTGCTGTAGTCCCGACTTCTCCCGGTGCCTCAAACGCAACATCTGGATGTCTGGAGTTTTGGCTAATAATACCTCTCTGCTACTCAAATTACAGCCCCTCCGTAATTTAAAGGCTGCTTTCAGGCTGAGGAAGGCGGTTATAGAGCCTCACGGAGACCAGGAAAGACCAAGTTTGTGTTCATTCACACAGCCGTGACGAGCTGCCATGGGTGGTTCAACTTTATACACTTTTGAGACTTATACAAGTGACCACATATAAACGTAAAACTCAACCCGGCACATCAGGCCTGTAATTGAAGCAAGTTTTTGGATTGAATTCTAAGATTGTATGTGTATTTTATGATGTATGATATAAGAAAAGTTGCACCAGAATGAGGCAGACTTGCAGTAATGGAAAAAACAGTTTTGTGACAAAAGCCTGTCATTATTCATTTATAATATTTGCCTAAATTTATTTAGCTGTTTTCTGCTGAAGGATATAATATAACCATTTATTCAAGAACTAACTTTTAAATGTGTCTTGTCCTGTTAGGCACTCAGTCAGTCACCTTTTATTTAGCTAATTTGAGTTTATCCTGCTCATAAATTGTAGATATTGGGAGTTATGTCACGCTGTACTGCATACTGGGAAAACTACCATTTTTACTAGTTCAGTGATGGTTATTTCAGGTGAAAAGCCAACAAGTCCTCCAGCTGAAACAGTCCTATTTTAATTTGGCGTTATTCTTAGACTCAATCCATTTTGGCGTCCCCTAAAAAAGAAAAAAAGAAAAGTTCTCGCCTTCCGGTTAGGTTTAGGCCATAAGAAGATGTTATGGAGATGACATTTGTTTGAGTTTTTCCAAATTCACGCAGCTAATTATAGAAGCCACTAATTCTGTACTTGCTTGATTTTTTGTTTTGGTTGATATGAAGAAATAGCCCAAGAGGACACATTTTGGCAAAAGACTATCTTTAAAAAAGGTCAAATCTGATGGAGAAATGAAGAGATAAAAGGAGACAAAGGTCCATACAAACAGAGGTCAGATGAAGGGGAGTGCTCTTTATCTTTTAAGTAAATCTATGTGAAATGTTCTTGTTTTCCACATTGATAAAACTCTGAACGGTTATCCCATTTCTCAATTTTTTCTTGTCATTACCCAACACAACTTCCCAAACTTTATTCCCTGTTTTTGTTTTTTTAAATAAAAGTCCAATGTGTTGGGTTTAGAGCCATCTAGAGGCTTAAAGATGAAATTGCATCCAAAACTAAGGTCAGAAATATGCAGTTTTTGATGGGGAAAAGCATATTCTGAGGGAAGAAAGCGACAATAACTGATATAATGTAATAAGAATTAAAATATTTGTGTTGGCAGAACTGATGTGGCTCAGGTGAACTGTAGCTCAAGGTGTTTGTGTGTGTATGTGATCGAATTTTACAAAACTTTACAATATTTTGTCTTTAAAAATAGCTTTCAAATAGGATTCCCCTTCTTTCTTTTGACCCAGATATCGTTGTAAAGCTCGTTGTAAACACTCAGACTTAAAGCTGAATCCCAAAAGTTTTCTACAAACTTTAACTTTAACTTTAACTTTAACTTTAACTTAGTGAACACCTGTTTTTGGAAACCTGCTGGCATCAAATAAAAGGTCAGATTCAGTTCAAAGGAAGCAGAAATACACAGAAGAAACCTGATGAATAATGGGGGTTAAACATGCCACAGCTCGGACCTGTAATTTTCTCTAAATGTTTACTGAACTATGCTGGAAGCTGTTTGGGTATAAGACAAATACAGCTAAACATTGTGGCCTATAAGTTAAAGGGTAGAATTTAAGGGATACACTTCAGATAAATGAGCTCATTAAAGTTTTCTGCTATAAAGTTTGCCTCACAGAGTCGATACCCTGAGGGGACAGCCATTTTGTTTTTAAACCATAATTCGGTTCAAGAGCCAATATGCTGGCGGTGATCTAATTTTCTGAACCCACATTTCCCCGTATGCATATCTTTCCAGTGGAAAAAGCAGCCGTGGTATGATTGCCTAACTCTGAGGAGCCCTGCTCTCATTTTTTCCACAGCACGGGTGATTATTTGAGGCTGTGACCTGTTTGGAGTCTGAGAAAAACAATTTTCATGTGGTAAACATATTCTAAAAACGTACACAAAGATCAGATATGATTACCTTTCACAAATAAGTAAAGCATGCTTTGTAAGATAACAGGAACAAAAGACAACACTTGAATTGTGTAGCTTTATTCGAACATGATACAATATAAAAATACAATAGTGCACAGTAACAAGAAGTGCATCAGAAAGAAAAGAAAATACAGATTTTTAGTTTCAGTTAACATATCATGCTCAAAATGGGGTAGGAAGAAGTGAGAACTTATAAACTCCTACCCCTAAACACTTAAATAGATTTGAATCACATTGATCAAATATATGATGAATGTATAAATTATTTTATACTTTTCAGTCTGATGTAAATGGCTTGTTTGAAATAAAGTGGCACCAAAAGAAAGGAGATTTAAGCTGAAGCTTAGAAAATAGCCCAAATAAACACATTACAACAAAACAAAGCAAACTTCTGACTTCTGTAACATAATAAAGGGACACAAACAGCATATTAGAGAAGTTAAAACACACAAACTCTCTCAGAGACTGTGGGCATATGGGGTTAAATAAAATAATGTTGATTTAATTGTGAACAGCAGATACAGTGGGGGAAATAAGTATTTGACCCCTTGCTGATTTTGCAGGTTTGCCCACTTACAAAGAATGCAACGATCTATAACTTTAATCAAATGTACATTCTAACAGTGAGAGACAGAATCCCAAAGAAAATTCCAGAAAATCACATCATATGAATTTATAAAAATTGATAACCATCTGATGAGGAAAAATAAGCATTCTTTGTAAGTGGGCAAACCTGCAAAATCAGCAAGGGCTCAAATACTTATTTCCCCCAATGTATGTTATCTAAAATGTAGAGAACACACCAAAAGTACCGTTTTAGATGTTAGTCCAGCATATTTTCAACAGCCGGAGTAAAAGACCTTAAAATAAAGATTTACTGCAGAGACTGAGGTAATAACCGTTGTTTGACGTTAAAACTTTGACCTCCAGACGCTTTGCTGTTTCACATTTTACTGAGCTGTTGTCTGGGTCAAATTTCAGATGTCTGCAAGTTATTAAAATCTCAACAGCCCCTCCCAGCACATTTAACTTTTAGTACATAATAAAAATGATTTCTTATCAAATCAGAAAATTGCACAAAAGGTTAATGGATAAAGCTGAAGAGCTGGAAAAAGAATTATTTAGCCGAACGTTGATGTTTTTTTAGTAGCCGACCTTAAAGTGGAGAGCTTTTTTAAGGAAGATTATGAGGACAAATTGTGCTTTTTAAAATTATGATGAAAAAAAGAACAGAATCAAAACTCTATCAGGATCAAAGCAAAGATTTATTCCAGAGTTTTTGTAATAACAACTATCATATAGATGTCTGTCTCTGTCAACATTCATGCAATATAACTAATTTCATACCAATATAAATTACATCAACACCTCAGTTTCCATCAGTCATGAGAAATGGGACCATGTCCAATAATATTTATCACCCATTTGCACATTCTGAACATGTCAGGTGTAACGATTTAAATCTGCTAACACCTCAGCATTATCATTATCATATTATATGAGCTGCAAGAAACTGAAACTTATTTTCCCAGAAAACTGTTCAAGAGGTGAAAGTTGACTGAGGGGCTGCTGTGGAAACTCAGAAAATAATGTTGTTTTCTCAATATCATCATAGGTAACTGAATAAATATGTATGTAGATATATAGATGATTCAGATATTAAAAGGTTTGATGGATAATAAAAAAAAGAAAAACTAATGGACGGACCCAATATGGAGAAGGACTTTCATACATTTGTCCCTATTCTGGTCAAAGATTAATTAAATTTCTCCCAAACGTGCTTACTGGAAAACTGTTAATCCAAGATGTGAATGAGGGAAAAAGTCAACAGCTTACATGGAAACATCACCAAGAAACACAGAAAAGAAGGTAAAATTATTGTTTCAACCAATAAGACGTGTTGATTAGTGTTAACTCTTCCTTCAAAACTTCAGAACAAACAGATGGAAATATCCTAAAAGGAGAAGCCTTATTAATATATATATATAATTATATACATTCGTAAGATTATTTGATGCAAAATCATGTTTTTTAACATGTTTTTTTCTAGGTTCGTTGATCTGGTTCAACTGAAAGCTTTTTGCAGACATAATTTAATACTTTAATTACACCTTTCAGTGTAATTTTTTGGTTTAAATTCATCATCTTTTTGCCGTCAGGGCATTAATTCATAGGAAAACTGACCAGGTTGCATAACTCTTACATAAACCCGCGTCTGCTGAGGGGATCACTGTGATTTATCACGTGGAGGAACTCCACATTCCTCATTTCTCATCCTGAACTGTCTGTTTCTGGCCTCAACCAGAGACCCAGGGGGCCAGATTCCACTAAAGAAAAAATCCCCTGGTGCTATAGCTCGCACAGATTTTTCCTGTTCTGGTTTTTTCTGGGTTTTATCCCACGTTCACCATCCGTTCACCATTTTTATTTTATTTTTACCTTGTTCTGTTCAGTAT